CCCCAAAACCCCAAAACCCCGAAATGAATTGAATTGAAAATTGGGAGTTTAAGAGTTAATATTTAAATTTAATCAATTTCAGTTCTCTCATTCCTGCAATGCAATAATTTTTTCTATGTCTGTCTATTAAAATGCTAGACAAGCATCAACTGGGAAGAAACTGGTGTCCTCCTTTAGAACAAGGTTCTTGACATACTTCTCTACACCAGTACATTCATTTCCAGGATTTCTCTTCACATAGAGGATAAAGAACAAATAGGCGTAGACATTATGCTCTCTCAGCACATGGTCCTTAAACACCTTGTTTTTAGCCTCAAACTGATACCTATTGATACCACAGATAAAGCACTTCTCATTTACATCCTTTTCCATGGCATTTCTTTGATCTCTCATATCGGCAAAAGCATCTATAATGATACCAAATATAAGATTCAATAGTAAGATAATAACAACAACGAAGAAACTCAGATCAAATGCGAATCTCTTCCAGTACTTATCATCTCTATCCTGAAGCTACGTAAGAACATCTCCGATACCTCCACCTGATCTCAGACCATTATTCAGAGTAGAAGCAAAACACATCACGAGGGAGTTGCAATAGTTATTAAGATCGGGTGAATTTTCTGGATCAGTGCCTTCGTTGGTATAGTTATCTCTGAAAGCTTGGAAGGCAATGAAAGAGTAAATGTAGATAATAATGAATAGCAATAGCAAGGTATAGATAATCTGTCTCTTATTTTACTAGATGGCTTGTACCACACTTGTAAGCAGTGGAATCTTAATAATGATATCTAAAAGCAAAATGCTGAAGAAGGTAGGGCTAAACAGTCCAGCAATGGATACTCCGAAGTAAGCCAAGTTAAACAAATGCCTCATATCTATCATTAACCCTGTCCAGAATGACTGGAGAATTTGCAATATCTATTACCAAACGCTTAGCTATTTAAACTTTTTGAAATTGCCCATGCTCTTGTTTTCATCTGCTTTGGAGTTAGAAGTCAATTGCTACATCATTATTTACTCAGCTATATTTAGTTAGAGCAAAAGATTTTATGCTTACATTTCTATGATAGTTTATAGGTAGATTAGCCATAGGCATATCCGAGAGATCCTTTGTATTCACTGAACCAGGATTTCTTCTCAACTCTGTCCTTCTCTAAATGCTTCTGCCAGAAAACCGCATGATACTTTTGGAAATAAGACAGTACCACGATGAATGAAAGGAAGGCCTAGATTATACCAAAGATCTAAATGACTATTTCGGCGACAGGATACTGGAACACAATCTTGTCATCATTGACCTCGTAGAAGATCAAGAACAATATGTTGATAAGTATAATCATAATGAAACTGAGATTAGAAAACTTAGCCCAATGAACTGTGAGCCATCTTCTTATCTTGCTGTCTCTGTCAAGTTTTTGAAGACTTTTCATTTCGGTGGTGATGACATTAATCTTTGAGAAGAAATCCTCGAGTTTATCACTTTGACTTTCTCGATTAGCTCCATAGATTAAATCCTTTTTAGAGTAAGTAGTCATGTACGTACAAAATGAAGGTATCTTATAAAGGACACTTACAAGTTTGTCCTTGCTAATTGAAAAGATGATATGATAAATGTTAAATTACTAATTGATTTCAATGTTAGCCACATTTTTAATATAGAATCTAATAGCTGTGTCAATAGCGAATTACTCTATAGAATAGCTGTAAGGTATTATTTTCTTTTTCTTGCAACACCAGATTTGCCACCATTTTCCACTAGATACATAATTGTCTAGATTTTTTTTAGTTTTATTAGTTCTTCTGTCAATAGGATATATTTCAACTGGTCCTTTTACAAATTCCTCATACAATTCTTATTTCGCTTTGCCTTTTTCTTTTCCTTGAATATTTTTTTAATTCTCAGTATCCTCTGCTTTTATTTTAATAGGTTAATTATTCCTTTTGTTATCAAGTCTCTTGCCCATTTTAACTTTAATGCTTATTAGTTTATCACTATTTAAAAACTTAACTTTAAATTATCTTACTGCTCCCAATCCGCTCTTCGTTTTTGCTCATCCATTGATATTCTAGATTACCTCTTAAAATCTTGGCTAAACTTTTCATAAAATTCTCTATATCTCAGCTCTTTTTTCATCTCAAAGTCACATTTTTCTAGTGAATTGGTAGATTTTACTGTCTGCTTGAATATTTGAAGGAAGATAAAGGTATTAAAGCCAGATGAAATAACAATATTATCTAAAGCAGTCATATGCCCAAACTCACAGAATTCTCCTGGCTCGCACATATTCAATCTGAATTTTGGTTTCTTTTCTTTATCACAATACTCTTCTTTTATGTGATTGCATTGCTGTAATAAATATAAATAAACTATAATTTTACTTTGTTTGATCTGTACAACTTTTACTTCTTTTTTTCGCAGCCTATTTTGTATATGAAAATTTCAACCATCTTTTGGATCAAATTCTCTACTGATATTGATTTAGTGAGTTCAAGAAACTGTTAATATCTGAACAGATTATCATCGGTTTCTATCAAAGCGATGAGCAATTTTGTGCAAGATGAATAGATTCTTAGCTTTCCCATTTATTCAACAGTAGTGCCTGAGTAATAACCCATATCTTGGCTTAAATAATAGTCAATTGTCTTGCAGAACTTAGCCCAGTTGCCCAGAATTTATTGATTTTAGCGGCATGGACCATATAAGAAATCTATCAAGGTATCTAGGACCTGTTGCACTGTTTAATACAGCTATAAAGATATTACTATGTAGATATAGCTTACTAAGTAATTAGAGAATATAAACTCTTGGAGCTTCGTCAATTTTATCAAAACATTCGCAACTTCAACTAGAATATTTATAGAGGATACATATAGATTATCATTTTAAGCAAATCCTTCCTCATCTTAATTTATTAGATATAACTAGAAGCCATCAAAGCAGTTATCACAAAAGAGCTGTATTAATCTTAGTAGATTTATAAGTTCATTCCTTTTTGTGTCTTGGGTTAATCTTTCTTTCTCTGCTTCCAAATTTATTTTCTAAGATGTCTTTTTTTCCCCTTCAGATTAACCATCAGCTTAGGCTTAGTTTGCTATAAAAATTGAATTAAAAGTAGAAGCTTTACTTTAATTTTAAGGAGTGTTTTAGTGGTTATTATACCATGACCTTAAGCTATCTTCATGAGATAGGATCATTTCATCTGTACTAATGATCATTCTTTCCTTAATATATTCCAAAAGATTGTATTATTGCCTATTATTCTTAAGAAGTTTAAGAATTTAGTTTTGTATCTAAAATTTCCAATATGATTTTAAAAAATATTACATTGTCATTAGATTCACTAAGAAGGGAACATAAAAGTAAGATAGCTTAATTGGCCACTTCAATTGGTTCATCTTTTGAAATTAATCCCAAAGCTAATTCACAAACAGCACATTCTTTCATCATATTCTAAATCTCAGTTAGCCTCTTTTTTGTTATAATCTAGAGTTGCAAACTTGGTTTGGCATTATTTTTTGTTAGAGTCGATCTCATGTACTACTCAAGAATCATATTTAGGACAATCATTAGGTAGATTTTGCGGTTGCTATCTACAAATCCCTTAATCATCTTTTCTATGAACTCTTTTATCTTTGCATTCTAGTTGCTCTAAAAGAACTCGTCGAACTATTGAATAAAATTAATAAGTTGATAGTCATGAAATTAAGATTACTTAATTTTTAATATGCATTATAACTGTTCTCAATTCATCTTAATCTTCATTCTTTACACAAAAATCAATAAATGTCTTTTAGAATAATCTAAGATCAGCTTCCATGTCAAAGGTCATTTGTGCAGGCTTGTTATTTTAAGTATAATCTTGATTTTCATTTTAATTATTTTCATTTTTATTAAATGGATCATTCATAAATAGCTTATGAAGATCTTACTTATCTATATATTCGACTCCATCAAGTTAGAGGTCCAGTCCAAACAATTTTTGCTATTAATTACTCATAATGACCATAGTCTTCCTTTAACCTTTAATCTATTATTTTTAAAAGCCCTCTGTCATTTACTTGCTAGATTCAACGATAAAATCTGTTTTTCTTCTATTAGTATTTTAGGATCTTAATTAGACTATATTTTGTGATTTTACTTAATTAGGATTTATCTAAGTTTAATCTACAGGATGAGAAGAAGGATTAGATTTATCATTATTCTTGATTTATTGCATAATTTTTGAAAAGTTTTTGAAATAAGCAACAGCATCTGTTATTTCAGATGTTTTTTCACTCCCAAGAATGGAAATTAGTTACTTCTTCAATAAATCCCCATTAATCCTATTTTCATTTAGCCTATCAACTGCTGAATCAAAGATTTCTGAGATTTATTAATTATTAAAAATCAGGTATTCCTTAACTTGATCAATGATCTTCAAAGCAGTTCGCTTTTTAGCAGCTATATCAATGTTATCAGTTTCAGTTTGCATTTAGGATTCATCAGACATCTCTGTAGTATTATTTTACTCATTTATATCTATTTTTTTGCCTACTTTGAAACTTCTTACTTTCGGTGCAATACTAAGAGTTTCCATAACAATTAGGTAATAATACTACTTGTTAAAACTTGTTCCTTACTTTTTTTCTTCACTTTTATCAAGGGGATTTTACTCCTATAAAGCTATATTATTTCCATTTTATTATTAAGGCTCAACTTCATCTTAAAGGAATTCAAAGTAACCATCTAGCAATGCATTTTTGAGGTTTTAAAGGAAATCAATTATTTTCAGATTAACTTCATCAAGTGCAGTTGATGTATTTATGCCAACATTCTTAAGACTCTGATAGAAATCTGAAATGAAATGTAAGAAACCATCTTGTTTTGAGCATTTTTCGTTTGTGCTGCTGAGTAATTTGAATTGTTTGTACAGTTCTTCTTTAAGTGGAGGAACATAGCCTTCCTTTTTGTGTCCCTCTGTGAACAAATCAAAGGCTGCTTTATTTAATATTTAGAAAGAATCGAGAATCTTTTTCAATACCTCAATGAAAGCGGTTGAATTCACATCCATTATTGAGATGTCTGAAACATCATTTATGTATACTTCAAATAGGAATCTTAAGTAGACTATCTTCATTTTCAAGGGTAGCCAATCTTTTTGAAGGGCTTCAATTACATATTTAAGTTCAATAAGCTTTCTTGATTGCTAAATTCCGTACTAGAGGTCTTTAGAGCAATCAGTTAGCAATTCTATGCATGTCTGATGAATTTTAGAGTTTTTACGAAAATCTTCATGCTCTTTTTATGTAATCTGCCTAGGTTTTTACTTGCTTAAAAATGATTCAAAACTATCAATCTATCTAGCATTTATATGCTCTAGGAATTTAGACTTTTAGACAATATTTTTCAAAATAATCAGCTGATAGGAGCTATTGAATAATTGAGAATTCTCAACCACCATATAGTTCAATATTTTCATTAGGACTCTATCACATTCTTTATCCTTTTAAAATTTAGCCAGGACAAAATTCAAAAATAACTAGCATTCCTTAGTATGTTTATGCTTGTTTATAATCTAAGCTAAAATAAGTTTATTTGGAATGTCGAATGGTATTTAGCTAAGTAAGAATTTCATATGCGGTAGTAATGATCTTTAATTTTTATAGTTATGATTGGCAAATTCAAAGATAAATGCTGAAATGTCTTAGAATAAAAGCTATAGTGACTCAGGAATATTTTCTTTAGTTTATACTTTCTTCATAAGCTTGACAATTAAATCATTTTATACATCAAGATGTCTTAAAAAAGTTTATCTTTTATGACTTCTAGCTCTATCGATTCTCAGCTTGCTTGTGATTTAGTTCAATTATTACCTTAATAAACTAACGTTAATTATGTATTCACCTTCGGCATCTATTTTGTCAGATTTGTTTAATATGCCTTAGTAGTGATTGTAATTGACAATATCTTGAATTAATTCATTTATCCTGAAATTTTTGTTCTTCAGCTTAAGAAACTGATCTATGTCATCTTATGTTACAAGTATTTCAACTTTCACTATTTCATTCACAAGGTTAAATCTTTATCTAAAGCTTTATACAAGAACCTCCACTGCCTGATCTTTAATCTCATTGTTTTAAGTTTTCTAGAAAATCATGGAGAGTAAGGACTCGTTAAGGAAATGCTATTACTTATTTTTATCCTTATTTTTCCCAGACTTTGATTTTTTATCTTTCAAATTTTAATCCTTAGACTTATCTTTTTACAATGGCTCTTTTAATTTCAGTTCTTATATCAACTCTATAACTCGATTTTATATTCTTTTACTTCGATCTGGTAAATTTGCATACATTTCTAATTCTTATTCTATAATAAATTCATCATGCTTTATCATATCCTCCTAGCAAAACTCCTAATATTTTAATTAATCATTTGGCAAGTTAGCTACTTAATTTTATTCTGCAGCTGAAGCATTTTTATTTTATAATTCCTTAATTCCCATATACATCCTATTATTCATTTTGCTCATTATAAATAATTTCTTAAGAACCTATTCTTTATTAAATCCATTTGAAGAGGCTCCAAATTGATACATTTAGAATAGAAGTTTGAATTCGTCGATTAATATATTATTTGCATCATCCACATCAGGCTTTAGATTGTAATCTATCGCTCTCTTGAATACCTAAGTAAAAGCTATGACTTGCTCATTGATTTTGAAGTTAATGATAGCTTAAAGCATTTTTAACGTTTTATATTCCAATTTTTCTACCTTACTTTTTGTTGAGGCATCTTTTCTAGCATTTAAAATAACTGACACAATCCAAGAATGAATTTGATTCTAATTTTTTTAAGATTTTTCTCCTTGAGTATTATCATTAGGATTATTTAAGAGATCTGTCCTACTTTTATCAGGACTATTACTCGAAATTTAAGTTTGATCATTTAAAATATCTTAATTACCTTCATTATCAGCTCCCTGTGTTGGTATAGGATCTATTATTTAGCCCTATTCATCAACACGTTTATCATAATCTCTATAGAAATAGAAAATGTCTTAAGCAACTTGGATCATATCATAGATAAAGTCATTCTAAACTTATTCTGTCTTAATTAATGATATCGCAAGATCAATGTGATTATCTATAAATCTTAGTGTTTATTTGTCAATCTTTTTTATTTAGTCACTTGTTTTGTTTTATTCTTGCTTTTTGCTATGATGATTCATATAATCGAGTTATTCATTCTGCAATTATTGCTTTGTCTAGTCTTCTTTGAAAAATTTCTGAACTATTTCTTCAACCTCAACTTCATCATATTCGGTAGTTTTATCTACATGAGTAGACTAAAAACTCATGTTTGCTTTTGGTTGCATTGTTAATGATCTAATATCACCTTTTTATATGACTAATGTTGGTCTTTATTTATTTCTTTATGATTTTGATGGTGATACCTCTATTGGAAGATCAGGCTGAATATCACTAAGATCATTGAAATTTTAATCATTATCCTAAAAATGTTTAGCCTATTGTTTCTTTTTTCTTGGTTTGTACGGACTTAGCAATGTTAGCTTGTCATTTTCATCTGGCCCGCCTGCAAGTGATTAGAAAAGTTTATTTCCTCTTATTAGATCTTCTTCAAAATTATCTTTATTTTACAATTTGTCTTCATTTTAGTCATAGGCTTCTGTCATTTAACCTTATCCTTTCACCTACTCAATCTCAAGTTTATATAATTCTCTGTGAGTCGAATAGCTTCCAATGTAATCCCATCTAAATGAAGTTATGAAATTAAGATTAATTTTCTTACATATAGCATCTATTATTATACTTGATAAATTGTTAATAAACATCATAGTCAATGAACATCACCTTGAACAATCTCATGAAAGATGACTTAAACTTGGGATGAAGTTTTGAATGCTAAGAAATTGAATATAAAACCATTTCTCTAGTGATACCAAGGGCTTAAACTGCCTGTATGCCGGAAAAATTGCCTGAAAGACAAACACTGGAGAATAGCTCTATCACACAGCAGATATAGTCAATATAAATACTTAGTCTCGTGCTTATTCCAGCTTAAGTAGGATTTTAGCATAAACTTATATCCTCCAAATTAAAAGTTGGATCTTTTTTATATTGATTGCTCAAATAGCTTTATTTACCTATTGACTGATTTAGCTTGGCCAAAAAAGGATTATGCTGATCAAATTCTTCTCTTGTCTAGTTTTTTAGAAGGAAAGTTACTATAGGACACTTTGTACCAATATCTTAAGAAAAATTTATTGGAACATATGGGTACTCAACCTAATTTTTACTGTTAAAATCTCCTTAAATTCCTTCCTCATTTTTAGCTGCTCTTGTCAACAAGTCCATAACTTTTAATTGATAGTGGTAAATTCCATTCCCTTAATTATCACAGCAGATCATGCTCAGCACCTTTAAATGAAGCATTTATCTGTGAATATTATCATCATTTTCTGAATTATATGTTGGGGTATCTAGAGCTTATCCCCAATTTTTAATAATGATATCAAGAGGTTTATCTTACTTTTCTGGATCTGAATCTTGATCTTAACTATCTAATTCCTCACTTGTATAATGAATCATCTGAGATCTTTTGAAAGCTTCTCTAAATATGCTTGTTATCAATTTTGTATCGCATTTCTTAATTTATCTGTAAATAATTCTTTCGTTCTATGTCACTATTGCAGCATTTTTTGGATTGTTCTTTATCATGACATTGATTACTCTTAACAGTTGGTTTGATACTTAATCAAGATGATCAGAAGCTATTGTCTCGGGGATTGAGCGTGATCCAAACATATTTTAACCTGCAATTTCTAGGTCGCTCAAAATACTTTTATCTCTTTATTTTTTATTATCATTATATCTCTCATTTTTGGGCACAGTTTTGTAGTATATTAGTTCTAATAACTTTATTAGCATATGAAGTACTCCTTATTCAGCTAGATGATTTTGATACTTAATGAATTAGTCTCTGCTGTTATTTTTTGCTTTATAAAGTGTCTCATATAACCTTGTCAGCACTTGCATAAATTCCTCACTCTTATCAGATAATACCTCCTCAGTTTCAATAGCCTCTGTCTAATTATACATTTTTGTCTTTACAAGCTCATTTACTGCCCACAAAAGTATGAAATCATGGAATTCCAAAAATGTTTAACAGTAGCTCTAGCCTTCATATGTAATGGAGGCATCCTTATCTGATACCTTTTCTATCATGAACACCATTTTAGCTACATCCTCCTTCAAAAATTTACCAGAAGTTACAGTGATCAACTTTTTCTCCTCCTCATCTTTTAAATCTATGGTCTGAGGGATAGAAGCCTACTAATCGATTGTATCTTCTTGGTCCATTTCCTATTCGACAACGGTTTGAATATCAACCTACCCTATCTAAAGAAAATCTTTCCAGCTGACGTTGCTTTTTTCATCCTAAAAAGCAGACTGAAGCATGATAAGATCCTAATTGCCTATAACTTAGCCCATTTCATCTTCTTCTTCCTTTTCAAGCTTTATTCTTGGAGGCTAATATGTATCTCTTCTAATCTTAAAAAGACTTGCCCAAGCAAATTCTCTCATGCTACATTCACCAAGCACTAGTTATTCATCTTAAACAACTAAGAATTTGCCAGTTCCAATATGCTTAAATCTGTAGCAGTCATTGTAATAGATTTAGCCTCCTATGAATGGTTTAACTTTTTGAATTTCCCAATTAGAGTTTGTTTCCATTAAACTATCCAGATCTGTCTCAATATAAACTTCGTTACACTGCTCATCAACTTAAGTTTTCGTTATCTCATTTAGAGTCTCCTCACTTCCAATGTTTATGGGAGGCAATGAAACGTTTATTTTGTAATTCTTGGTACTCATATGACCAAGATTAACCTTGTCCTCAGTATTCATTTCTTCTATCATGAACTATGGGAATTTGTTCTTTAGCACATCGAAATTCTTTTCTTTAACAGTGAGATATCCATTTAATTCCTTATGTTAAAGTTTGACTGTATCTGCAGAGGCAATAAAATCTTCTGTGTTACTAAAGGTATAGTCGATGAACAACTTAGCCTTCAATCTTGATGCCTCGTTGTTTCCATTAATCTCAATTGTTTTGTTCAAATTTTCAGAAGTAAACTTCTAAGTATAGACATGAACATAGAGTTTAGGCTTCTCATACTCTAAGGATTCTTAAATGAAGTTATTAATGAAGAAAGAATCTTAGTATGATATTGATTGACCATTTTATCTAAAGTTGAATCAGCACTTTGAAGTAAATATCTTACCTAATTTTCTAAGAGGGCGAGAAAGTCAACCAAGAGTTTTCATTAGGCCTCGATAACTCTACAGCATTGCATCCATTTTCAGAAGCAATCTTCTTAGGGCTAATTGATAAGTATTGTCCGCTAAATATATGCTTTAATTATATTTTCTGTCCATATGTTATCTTCTTGCCAAGACTCATTTGACATTCATATTTATTATTGTTGTCCTCTTCCTCTAGTCTCTTATTATTTTTTTGCTATTTTCTATCAAGATTTTGAATTTCATTGGTCAATTCGTCAAAATCTTTGCCCTCAGCAGTTTCAAGTTCCAGTTCTAATTCTCGAATCTATCTCCCATAGTCTTGATCAATTTAGTTGAATTGGCATTCCTAAGCAGATTCTATTATAAACAGGCACTTTTTGAATTAACTGAAACTGCCCATTTAACTTTTTGCACCCTTATGTATCAAATTGAGATTCATGTTTGTCACTCCATCAGACCATAGTACTCCCTATATGCTCTTGACTTCCTTTTCGCTTTATACTTTTTAGATTTAAGGCCCAGTTTTAGAAGTCTAATTAGTCTTCTAATTTGCCAGCTTATCTTTCTTAACAATTTATTTTTCAAATCTATAAATTTTGAATTTAAATTTGGACCATTCAAGTATGAATTATCAAAAAGGAAATTTCAAATCTAAGTTACTTACCTAAATGTAATGCAAATGATGTCTCCTATTCTTAGAAATCCTTTTCTCTACCTTTAAGTTGGATTTTTGATATTTACTTCATCTTGTCTATTTACTCCCAAGTTTTTCGCCAGTTAAGATCCCAGAGTTCCTTAGAAATTCTCGTGGATTGTTTTCATTCTACCTAAGGGGTTAAAGTTCGCAGTTGATTGTGATTCAACATTTGACCTGAAGAGCTTGTTCGAATCTAAACTTGGAATTTACATAAACTGCTGCATATTGTTTGCTCTACCAATATTTAGAACACTCTATGTCCGCACTATACAGCCATTTAGAAACTTATGAAATTCTAAATTTTCCTTACAATCTAATTAATTATCGGAGGTTTTATGTTTTGAAAGCTAAGCTGTTTGATGTTTCTGAGACTAGTGCTTCATAAACATTAATTCGTCATTGCCTCTGTATTATGTTTAAGTTCTATCGTTATCGATATCCGATCTGTTGTTTGCTCCATCAGGTTGCCTTTAGTTTATGAATTTATTTGAATCATTACATATACTGTAGCATCATGGCAAACTACTCCTAAATCTGATTTCGTATGTCATCCTTAAATTCCTAATAAAAGCTCATTATAATAAGAAAAAAGAAGGCGTTAAGGTAAAAGTGAGAAAATATGTCTATAGTTACATTTGTAATTTTCCGAATTTGATTGTCCGTAATTTGCTAGTTCATTTATAATTTTATTTTATAAGTTTCAAGTATTTGATTTCTATTAAATATCGATTCCTTTTAATATCTTAATTTATATATATCGAAACATACACAAAAATTTGCTTAACGGGGTTTTGGGGTTTTGGGGTTTTGGGG